TAACCAAAATAAACTTGGAATCAAATGATCCAGTTCTCTAGCCTATTTAACTACAGCTACATAGACAGTAAAGAATTGTATTACTTTAGCAGTGCAACGATAGGGAGAGCAGTACTTGTATCTCATCTGTGGAAGCTTGTGTCTGGAAGGCAGTATCTGTCACTGGAAGTGGAATTTTTTCCTGTAAATCTCCCATGCTGGAGAGCAGACTGCCCTGTTTGTTCACCATGCGTTCTAGTCCACCAAACATTCAATGTTTGCTCTAATCTGACATGCTGGTTTGGCTTCCAGAGTTTTAGAATTGAAGGATATACCGTATTGTGCTAGAAAGAACTCATGTTCTGTAATGTTTTCTAGCAATTTGTTTTTGATATAGAGGAAAATCTGTAGGGCAGGATTTGATTTTCAGATCCTTATGTCTATAGGGTCTTCCTGCTTAATTCTGTTAGAAAATATTATAAAGAGCAATCTCACTTGTTGAGGTAACATGTATAGAGAAAAAGAGAATCATCTGTGGGCATGCATCTTTGTGACCCAACTTTTGCAAGCCAAAGATTTGCCTCCAAAATGCAGGAATGGGATTTGCATGCATGTGTGTTTAAATGTAATGTACATATATATGTGTGTGTATTTAAAAAAAAAAAAAAAAAAAAACATATTCTAGAGGTGAGTGACATTACTTGATTTGGTGCCTGTATGCAATGCCAAAACAGCATCTAGAATTGCAGACTTTAAGGATATTTAAGAGTTTCTTGTTACACTTGATACTAAATCAAATTTAAAAGATTGTCCACAATAACCTTAAATAGATGCAGGTTTTATTTCTACTTTAAAATGCTAACTGCGTGCTTGGAGGATTCATGAAATCACAGAATCATCTAGGTTGGAAAAGACCTTGAAGATCATCTAGTCCAACCATTAACCTAACACTGACCATTCTCAAGTACACGATATACTTCAGCGCTATGTCAGCCTGACTCTTAAACACCTCCAGGGATGAGGACTCCACCACCTCCCTGGGCAGCCCATTCCAACACCCAACAACCCCTTCTGGAAAGAAATACTTCCTGACATCTAGTGAAAACCTTCTCTGGCTCAACTTGACGCCATTCCTTCTTGTTCTATCGCTTGTTACTTGGTTCAAGAGACTCATCCCCAGCTCTCTGCAACCTCCTTTCAGGTAGCTGTAGAGGGCGATGAGGTCTCCCCTCAGCCTCCTCTTCTCCAGACTAAACGCCCCCAGTTCCCTCAGCCGTACGACCTGTGCTCCAGACCCTGCACCAGCTTCGTTGCCCTTCTCTTGGGTTAAATGTCCTTTTTGTAGTGAGGGGCCCAAAACTGAACACAGGAATCGATGTGCGGCCTCCCTAGTGCCGAGTACAGGGGTAACTTCCCTTCCCTGTCCCTGCTGGCCATGCTATTGCTGACACAAGCCAGGATGCCGTTGGCCTTCTTGGCCCCCTGGGCACACTGCTGACTCCTGTTCATCGGGCTGTCAATCAACTCCCCCAGGTCCCTCTCTGACTGGCAGCTCTCCAGCCACTCCCCAAGCCTGTAGCGCTGCTGGGGGTTGTTGTGGCCCAAGTGCAGCCCCTGGCATTTGGCCTTATGGAAACTCCTGCAGTTGGGCTCAGCCCATGGCTCCAGCCTGTCCAGGTCTCTCTGCAGAGCCTCCCTACCCTCAAGCAGATCAACACTCCCACCCAACTTGGTGTCATCTGCAAACTGACTGAGGGTGCACTCGATCCCCTCTTCTAGATCATCAATAAAGATGTTAAACAGGAGTGGCCCCAAAACCGAGCCTTGAGGGACATCACTCGTGACCGGCCGCCAACTGGATTTAACTCCATTCACCACAACTCTTTGGGCCCAGCCATCCAGCCAGTTTTTTATGCAGCAAAGTGTGTGCCCATCCAAGCCTCGAGCAGCCAGTTTTGCCAGGAGAATGTTGTGGGAAACAGTGTCAAAGGCCTTACTGAAGTCAAGGTAAATTACATCCACAACCTTTCCCTCATCCAATAAGCAGGTTGTCCTGTCATAGAAGGAGATCAGGTTTGACAAGCCTTTCATAAACCCATGCTGACTGGGCCTGATTCTCTGGCTGTCCCACATGTGTTGTGTGATGGTACTCAGGATGAGCTGCTCCATCAGCTTCCCGGGCACCAATGTCAAGCTGACTGGCCTGTAATTTCCTGGATCATCCTTCTGACCTTTCTTATATATGAGCATCACATTGGCCAATTTCCAATCTGTCAGGACCTCCCCGGTCAGCCAGGACTGCTGGTAAATGATGGAAAGCGGCTTGGCGAGCACCCCAGCCAGCTCCTTCAGCACCCTCGGGTTAATCCCGTCTGGTCCCATAGACTTGTGTGTGTCTATGTGATGCAGTAGGTCACTGACTGTCTCCTGGATTGTGGAGGGGTCGTTCTCCCAGTCTCTTTCTTCTGGCTGAGGAGGCTGGATTCCCTCAGTACAACTAGTCTTGTTATTAAAGACTGAGTCAAAGAAGGCATTAAGCACCTCAGCCTTTTCCTCATCACTTGTTGCCATGTTTCCCCCTGCATCTAGCAGACTCTCCCGGGCCTGTCTTTTGCTCTTGACATACCTATAGAAAAATTTCTTGTTATCTGTGATTGCTGAAGCCAGATTCATTTCTAGCTGGGCTTTAGACCTCCTGATTTCCACCCTGCATAGCTTCACAGCCTCTTTGTAATCACTGTGTGTGGCTAGCCCCTTCTTCTAAAGGCTGTAAACTCTCCTTTTCTCCCTGAGTTGCAGCCAGAGCTCCCTGTTCAGCCAGAGTGGTCTTCTCTGGCGCCAGCTTCTCTTAGAGCACCTGGTGACTGCCTCCTCCTGAGCTATTAAGACTTCCTTCTTAAAGAGTGCCCAGCCTTCCTGGACCCCTATACCTTTCTGAACCATCTCCCAAGGGATTCTGTCAAGCAGGTGCCTGAAGAAGACAGCCCTTCTGAAGTCCAGGATGTCAGTTCTGCTGTGTCCTCTCCTGGCCTCTCTAAGTATAGAGAACTTTATTATTTCCTGATCACATTTCATGATTACATTTCTCTTTGTTCTTTTTAGTAAAACCAGTGTGCATATGGATGGTGTGCTTTTACTAAGTTTGGCAGTAAATAAAATTTGTAAAAACAGAGGTGGTATTTTCTATTTCAGCATTCCAATAAAACAAAAGGTGAAAGGGAATTGCATTGATTTCCTGAATGAGCAGGTTGCAGCAGTGTGGCCAGGCTGTGGTGGATCTGCTGACTGGATGTGGGCTGAGGGGCAGAGCTCCCAGACACTCTTTTTACATGTGCTCTGACTCCTTTTATTCCTTCTCACTGGTTTATTCACATGATCTTGGGAAGATTTTGTCTGGATACTGTTAGACTGTGGCTGCATACATAATAGGGAACACTGATAACAAGCAACAGATGGCAAGCAGATTTCAGTAGGAAGTTCTCCCTTATTTTTTTCAGTGCTCCCAGGTAAGGAGCTTACATGAACAAATGATAAGTGTGGAAGGAGCCTTTCTCTGTGTGTTTGAACAACTGTTGCTGCAACTCTGGTTTGAGCTATACCCTGCTGTTTCTAACAGAATATCACATGGTGTGATGAAATGGAGATCACTGTGAGTCAGAAACACAATAAATTACACACTGTGTGACTATGACAGCTCAATAGGAGCACCTATGGATGGAAAAAGCATTAATACTTCTCTGAGCACTGTTGACATGCAATAATTTTTTACCATTCTAATGAAAACATAACCAAATGAGCACATAAAACTCAGAGAGGAAAATATTTCTTTGTACGTGAGATAAAACTACACAAACAAATGTGTGCTATTAAGAGAAATTTTACTTCAAATGCAGAGCTTTAAGGTTAAAAATGTGATCTGTGAGTAGGGAATTTTTTTTAGGAAGATTCTTATTCTTCTGTATAGACAAGCTTTACTGAAAAGTGTTTACTAACATAGGAAAAATAGCTTTCTGTTTAAAATACACACAGATGGAATCGAAAGCAAAAATACCATGGTTAGTGGAGATGATACATAGCTGTAAAAATATCCTTCTAATTGCATAGTGGATCTTTTAGTAATAAATAATGAAAATCCTCACTAATTTTAGAATATATGTATTTTAGGAGGACATAAATCTCAATTGCTTCTTTCAGGTAGTTCAAAAGTCATTCAATGAGAGGTATTCTGGGTTTACAATATAACTATGAATTCTATTAACACAGTAATTTACTAATACTTGTATGATAATCTTAGCTATTAGAAGTATTTTATATTTTCTTTGCATATCAGATCTTTCAAAATAAAGAAACCTGTTAGAAATTATCTAGAGGTGGCTTTAGCAACAGATAAATTGTCCAGCAAAACAAACTTATATGAGTTGATATGATTGTACTGTGTAGATTTTTATTTGCGAGTCAATCTCATTAGTGCAAACTACTTGAAATACAGGATAAACAAAACCCTTTCTAAAAATGCAAAAAGATTCAGTAACTAGAACAGACAGAAGTTAAACAGTTAATGATGGGGCTGCACTGGATTCAGTGTATTTGCAGATGTTGCTGCAACCAACTGCTGATTTTTCTCCCATCCTGTCAGGGAACTCTGCCAGCTGTGATTCATGGAATGATTTTTTTGCACTGAGTAATCTGTGGTTTTTCTTTTTCCTCTTCCCTCTCCCTTATTTTTACCCTAAACTAAAGTGCTGTTCATTTCAGCTAAAGGGAGGGGAAGCTTCCAAAGCATTAATACAAAATATTAAATACACTGTGCTTTGAGTAGAGGAATTTTAACAAACGTTAAACTTGCAGTAATTTTACTTGGTCTTAGGCAGAGTAGTCCAGTACAGAAAAAACAGTTTTATAACAGAATCAGCTTTTGGTTTTGCTAGTCATACAGTGTCACAGTTCTTTTGAGACTTCTGTACTAGTATTGCTAAAGAACATCCAACTTTTGTGCTGATATTATGCCTCCTTTCTCACAGATCGCTCTGAACGAAATAAACCAGACTGCCGCTCTTCAGGGTAAGAATCGTATTTCTGTATTTATTCTTCCCTTTTTTTCCTTTTTTCCTTAATTTTTCCTTTTATGGGATGAACTAGGAAATTTGCCAGAAAAATAAAAATGCCATTCTTCTATTTCTGTTTTGGTAACAGTAATGAAATCCCAAAATAACTTTGTGTTAAAGGTAATTATTTTATATTCCTTATGGGGAAAATTTTCGAAGGAATTAAGAGGGCTTACTACACTGTAATTGTGTGCACTTAAAATACAAAGGCTTGTGTATGTATCACGTACAAGGTTGTTTGGTAAAACTGGTTTAAGACCAGAAGCCCTCATGGCTTTTACTTCTTTGGACTGCTTCTGTATCAAGGAAAGTAATTCTTGGTTCAGTCAAGAATAGTAATACGTTATTATTTATTCCATTAACTCTGATCCCATCATACCTAAGGTTTCATAACTGAGAGAAGCCAATGAACAGGTATTACACAAAACACACAGAGGCACAAACATTCTGTGTTTATTTAGAATTTCCATCAGCAGTTGCCATGAACTTCTAAGCTATTGATTTGCAAGGCCATATTTTCCCTTAAGCTAAAGAATATTCTCTAGTTGTCCTTCTTAGACTCTAAGTTTTTTTAAAATTCTCCTTCTCTTTTGCCTTATTTCCAAACTCTCCCTCTCAATTCTCCACCAGGGAATAGGATCTCATCCATATCCTGTGGCGGATAATGGGATTTTAATGAAGTAAAGTGATAGAACCTAGCTAACACTGGCTCTCCTGCTCCTTTGTGAAAAGCCTTTCCAAAGGATGCCCCTTGTGTCCAGCCTTCTGACATGACATGACCTTTTAATTTGGCTTTTACAGTCTGATTTTCTTTTTGTTAAATTTTTACAGTACAGTGGGGTAGCTTTTATGGCTACATGAACAGAGGGAACTGTAGGCTCTTCTTAAAGCACAGTTGGTCCGTTGTATCTACTGTGTGATGTGATGGAAGGGAGGATGCTTTGCGCTTCTCTCCCATATCTGCAACAGCACTGTGGCTGTTTCCAGCAGTGTGTTTAAGTTGCAGGGGAGTATTGCCTTTGTCCTTTATTACTTGTATCTACTTAGAACATCAATTACTCTATTTCCTTTTATAATTAAAAACTTTTTTCCATAAAATGATGCAGTTACCGTCTACATGTTTTAACTTTGATTAGATCATATTGTATTACAATAATGGCAAATAAATCCAAATCATCAAAAGGAAATCTAGTTTTATCAGAATGTTTAGTTTAAGGTTGAAACAGTTTCAGTCTGTTCCCTGCTCTTCTGACTGGTCTTTCTCACCAGTACCTTTTTGCTCTGGATTCTATTTTAGAAGTTCTAATTTGGAATCAAAAGCAAAGTAAAACTTGAGATTTTTCTCCATGGAATTGGAGTTTCAAATGTGGACCAGCCCTGAGAATAAAATAGTGTCCTAAATTGTCTGAGTTACAGGTTCCAAATTCTCATGTCAAAAGCACAGAGAAATTAACAGTATAAAGTAATTTGCTCATAATGTTGAGAAAAATGCGACTTTCAATAGTCTTTCATTCCTGTCAGTAGGGATGTGCTTTCTAACCATATCTATGTATCTTCTGCTCCCCTTCCCAATCTCACTGGCCTTCATCTCATGATAGTTCTGCTTTCCAGTATGATCTAGGAGGAACAAAAGTCATTGTTTAAAGGGTAGTGTGGTTTAGTGCATGTATCTCTGCTGCTCCTAGGCTAGAGCAGGAGCAGCCTGTCTTACTTAGATGACATACTCAGTTAATTGATACTGCTACACTCTGTGTTTCATCTCTCATTATATAGTTGGAAGCATAAACCTTTGGTGAAAAAATGGCCCAGTCTGGCCATGTCATATCTGGGAAAGGAGCTGCAGCCACTTGAAGACCAGAGCCCCTTGCTGTAAGAACTGAGGGAAAACTAAATAGTGAAGTATGCAAGACTTAATTAAAGTGCAAGCATACTTCTCTTGTAACACGGGCAGCATTTCAGAGCTGTTTGAGTTCCACTATGGACAGTTTTATGGCTTGTGCCATTTTTGTGATGAGCTACTGTACCCATGACACTTTCCTCTTTGGGGGCAGCTCATGACAAGGGAAAGAGAAAATACAGTAGCTCAAAGGCATCTTGTCTACTTTTTCCTTAAGCTGCATGTTGTGGGATGCGTCTCTTAAAAGCACATCATCCCTCTCATGATCTAAAGTGGAACAAAAATGACCCTGTAGGTCACTTGGACTCAAGGTCTAGTAACAATTTCTGCAATATAATTACTATAAAATAATGGAGGTGGACATGAGGACACTAGCTGACCAGATGAAGGCCTATGCAATGATCCTTAATAAAGGTAGATATCCTAAGATGAAATAGTGAGTGTAGATGTTTTCAAGAGAGAGCCAGAGAAGTAGAAGTTTTATTTTGTGCAAAGCCCTGGTGAGATCTTGCCCAGAAGTCTGTCCAGTCTAATCACAAATACGGAACACCAGGATAAGAAGAGACAAAAAGCACACAAACACCACCAGCAACTCCTCAGGCTCTGTAAGGTTAAGTTCTAGTCTGGAACAGAGTTTAATTGAAAGATAACATAACAATATTTCTTGTGATTGCAGGGGTCTAAAGCTTGTCCTTTCCAATACCACGTTCTTGTATGTTCCTGTGTATTTTTAGATCAGCTTGTTCTTTAGTCTTCTGAAGACCTCCTATACAGTGAAACAGAAAGTTTTAAAACATAGCTAGGACACAATTAATTTGCAATGAGATGCACATACAAAAACTTTTCTAGATAGAACAGTGTATAAATGATCTTTAATGTAGTTCCTTTTATTATAGGATGATGCCATTTAGATAATGCAGGGTGAAACATAGTGGTATCAAAAACCCTGACAAATATTCTGATTTTGTTATTAGCTTATCAAATGTTTATTATGGGAGAAATGCTACAGGAAGGTGGAGTATTCTGAGTGGTGATACTGGGATCTAGCATGACCCTGGGAAGAAATTTGGGGAGTGGATGAACCAAAGACCATAGGTAATGGTTTAAAGGGATAGATGATGCTTACAAAATGTGCATTAATACACTATCCTTTGCCTCTTTTGGCAATTAGCAGCCATCTGCCTTGCAGGTGACTTTATCTAAAGTGAGGAGTAGCAGAACAGGGCCTGTGGATATCTTTTTCATGTACTGCTCCATCATGATTTTTTTGTTAAATATTAGCACATTAGTAAGATCAAAACAAATGTTCTCTGAATCCAAATAATAAATATTGCTACATTAAATTTTTAACAAGATACATTTTATTTTATGACCTAATACTAAACATCCTTCAATTGTTATATTTCAGACAGTATTAAAAATATGTCTGTACTGGTAACAGTGATCTGTAATTATCAGTATTTCCTTGATTTTGCTGTCAGGTCGCATACTCTCGGCTCTGATAGCTTCAGGTCATGCACTACTGTAACACAGGTCAATTAGGTCAAAAGAAATAGACCCTTTAGTCTTATGTATCTAAATGTTTTCAAACTGAAAATTATATGATAGTAATAGAATAGAAGATTTCAGGCATCCATATATTTGCAGTTAATCCCTGAACATGAGAAATTAATTTCATTATGCTTTTTTTTTCCTTTGGGGTAAGGATTATAGATCAAAAACTCCTGAAACACAGTCTTGTGGTGTGATATAATTCATTGTCATTGCCTTGACCTTGGAGATGGGAGGACGAAGGTATCTAAACACTGCAACAGTTTACTGAGAGATTTAGTAGCATCAATCACTTGAATACAAGTAAGAATTTTTTATTTTTAAAATCTAGGAGTCTACTGTGAAAGCTTGCCCTCAAAATGGAGAGGGGGAAGAAAATAATTAGTTCATTTCTAGAAATAGATTCTAGGTTTTACTGCCATATAGTCTGCCTGCTGTAATGTGCTGAAGTTCTTTTACAGCTGGTTGCCTTCATTTGATTGAACTAAAATGGGCTTTTTTTATTTAAAATACATCAAGTCAACAATACAAATAGACACAACCCTTCCTTTGTTCCTTTATAAAGAGGCACTTGAAGTGGCTGATCAAAGGGGCTACAGATCCCTTTAGTGAGGATCTGATAAATCAAGATACCATTTTTCTGAATGGTATTTTGTATCTTACTTTGGTTTTAGTTTTTTTTTTATGTAGCAGAATTCCTTTAGTGAAAGCTTCTCGACATTTCTATTTCTTCTGCTGTATGATGTTGATCTTGTGAAATTGTGTTTAATAAATATTTCAGTAATGGTCTGACTATATCTTAAGAATATGTTTTCCCAGATCATATGTGAAGCCTGAAAGACACCTTTTAATTAAGATCTTAAGCCTTTAACAGAGCATGAAGGGAGTCTTAAGGCATAGGCCTGAGAACATAGTGAAACTGTCCTCACTTTATAGTTAAATCTGTGTGCTTTTACAAATCAATGTGGTTTTGAGATCTTGAGAAAACAAAAAGTAATTGGATTGTAACCATTACAGTCAGTCTGTGGTCAGTCATTTAATAATTCCAGCTTTGTATATCTGAAGGGGAATATGAGAGTCCTTCCTTCTGCTGCAAAAACCTTGCTAGCTCCTAACCTCTGAAGCCTGGATTCTAGGTTGAAGGCTCTCAAAAATTGCTGCTGACATTTGTACATGTTAACAACTTGAGTCATTTTGTTCTTGGGAGTAATTTCACTGCTAATTTTGTGGGTCACTTAGCAGATTTTGTGTGTTTTAGATAAATTTAAAATCCACGCTACTGTATTGGAATTGGGCATTGAAGAGAGTGAGAGGTGCTCTTGTAACCCTACCAAAGACCTCTACTTAGTTGTGCTTTAGTCAAATGGGCAGTATGGAGAGACTTTGCTACTGCTGCTTCTGGTCTGAGAAATCACAGAATGGTGGAAATGTTGGTGGGAAGGGACCTCTGCAGGTCATTTAGTGAAACATCTTGCTTACAGTGGGAAGATGCTAACACTAGATCAGGC